CCAATTTACGTATCGATAGATATGCCTTGTAGTGGAACAAGTTACTTATATCAAATCCGTGTTAGTAATGCTAAAACAACTTATAAATTATGACAGAAATTAGAGTGAGAGCCAACTGTTATGGTAATAAATCGAGTGTGTCTCGAGGAAGTAAATCAGAAGAGCTGCTTACTTACTATAAAGAACTCTATGAATCAGAGTTACCCTAATTTGAGACCTACGTTTAATATAGATGGGAACCTAATCAATAGCGTGACTGAAGAAAATATCTTGTCATAGTGGCGGATAACGTCACTCAACCCATCGAACCAGTGCTTTGTTGCTAACTGTAAAGTCAATAGAATCCAGTGTGTGTTTATATATATATTGATTACAAGTCAAAAGAGGTAATTATCTCATTAGTTAGGCTTTATTTGGAATAAAGTGTACAGTTTTAGTCTCCTTATCTACGAAAGGATATCGACTTCCTTGAAAGAGTTCAGAGGAGGTCTACTAGGATGGTAATGTGGACGATAGGGTTACTTTATGGGGATATATTAAGATCTCCAAACTTATTCTCCCATAAGAAAAGAAGGGTGAGGTGTAATCTTATTGAAGCTCACAATATTATCTGGTGGATCGATAGGATAAAGGCCTCTGATTTTTTGTGTGCCATGTTCTGAGGAAAAGAGGACAGAAGAATAAGGCTTGGAAAATACAGGCTAGGCTCCAGTTAGACAGTTTTATTTTTCAAACAGGGTGATTGCCTTACGGAATGTGTTACTGTCGGGAGTAGTGGAGGCCAGCATTTTACAGGAGTTTAAGAGGAGACTCAATGATCTACTGATGTGATCTACTTGGTGTGAAAGGACAGGATTTAAGGCCAAATGGTCCCTTATTGTTCATGTGTAAGTGCATCGGTCAAGTTGCTATGTTTATGAGTTTACGTGAAACAAAAATCAAATTAAACACAAATATTAAACTGAAGAGTACCAATACAGCAAAACGTAAGACAAAAAACGAATTTTAGCTGTATTTTATTTACAAACTAATCTTATAATGTGTATAATTATACCACTTACTAAACCTTACTAAACGTTCTGGCTACTGCTATCAGGTGTAGTAGTCGCTGGGCAAATCTAATATTTCCCAGGTAAAGGCTATGTAGACTAGCTCGTTCCTAATTTTGAACTGATAGACTAAATAGGAAAGACAAATAGTCAACAGCACCCACCGCATACTCTTCTCAGACCGATTAGTGGAACTGATCGTCACTTTCATAACGCACCCATGACTCCAAAGTGCAGAGCGCGTTTTTGTGACAACAGGACGCGCGCCATGAACCTTCAGGTTCACAGCAACTCTGGAAAGCTAATCACAAGGTTACGCCTGACCCAGGCTACTAGACAACTCAATTGCACAAAATAAAGGCGTGTGTTATATTAAGTAGTGTGATATGTTTACAAGTAAGAAAGAGAAAGTAAACTTCAATTTGACAACTGTATCCTAAACACGGATATATATGTATATTTCAGAACTTTCTCAAAGTAATAAATATCAAAACTAATACGGAATTAATATAAAAACCTTCAAAGAAGAATTATTACACATTTCATGGACACTTGTAACCCTATTTTATCCTAACAGATCCTTGTAGCGTTATTAGATTGTACTTGTTATGTAATTAGAGAACATATAAGTTTAGTAGAGGTATTATTTTATCAGCAAGGTTCTGAAAAAGTAATATATAGACGGATTGCTATACTGATTAATTACTGTACTCAAGTTATTTTGCACCTATTAGTTGACTAGATTTCTTTAAACTGTTTATGTTCATATGTAAGGTAGTAGGCGCCCATTTTCACCTTTCTTTCATCAGGCTACTTAGTTCACTGACAAATTACAACTTCTTAGATAGGTGTTGCGGGCTATCTGCTGTGTCTACCGAGGGGATTCGAACCCCTGATATTAACATTGTAAATCCGAAGACTTACCGCTGTCCCACCGGGTGACAGGTGTTGCGAAGGTATCAATGAAAGTATCTTTCCTTTGTAAAGAGGGTACCATTTTCCATCGTATTCTGAATCCACAAAAAATGTTGTCAGTATGTAAAGAATAGTTTAAGTAGCTCACTTATCCCTTCCCATTAAAACAACATTTAAACTCAACAGGAGGTTGATAACTTCAATCTAGCTGAATTCACAGAATTTTGGAAAACTTCGTTTGTATATTGTATGGAGACACCATGTATTACCAGAAGGCTCATTTACAGTATTTTAATTATTTTGTTTTATTATTGTTAAGTACAAAGCTGTACAATGGGATTTCTGTGTTGTGCCCAATGCAGGAATCTAATACCAAATTTTAGCATTACAAGCCCTCAAGCTTACTGCTGCCATTAAAAACCCGAAAGCCCTTCTTGATTTCTCTTCCACTGGTATTTTTTTGTGTAGTTGAAGGGAAAGCGCTCTCTGATGGATAACACAGTAGACAAAGAGTTTTTTAGCCCCGGATGAGCCTCTCATAGAACGTCTCTGAGTTTGTTTGTTTTTTTCAAGTACAAACTTTTAGCTCATAGCTCCGTCATCTCTTGACCAATTTTAGATCTAATTACGGTTTGGTACTCAGGAGGTCAAACCCTTTCCATTGGCATATTTGACCACGCCCAAGGTCTCATAGATTAATTTATTCTGATCCTGCCTAAAATAATTTCAATTTGAGAGTAGACTGGTAGAAATCCTGATGAATAATTAAATCGAAT